CTTTGTCTTACTGATATGGGTTCATTTGAAGTTATCAGCAATGGAACAGTCCAGGGTCAGAAATGGCAAGGTGGTAGTACAGCCTGTCTGGAAGGAATAAGGGATGATTTCAGATTTTGGGAGGCTTGAAAGGCAGGCTTGGAAAGGGCTTTTGCTTGCTTGATTCAGGATGTTGGAGTTTGATCTAAAGAATGTAGTGAGTCACTGGGAATGACTCCTATTACATGATAAAAAGGATTCTTTGTGGCAGTTTGCATGGTAGCAAGATGTAGGACAGGATTTAAGAGATGAATCTAGAAGTGGGGAAATGGGTTGGATGGTAATTATATTATTGAAAATAAGAGATGAGGAGTGGGAAATGGAGAAATGCATTCACAGCTTATTTAGACAGTAAAATTTAAAACATTGTATTTGAATATTTATTATGGATGGTTGGGAAGTACAGGCAAGCATTTCCAGCTCACGCGTAGCACTGCATTCAAACTACAGATGATGCCTTAGTTAGTACTTGATGACAGCATTTTAATTATAGAGTGTTTCATGGGTTGGAAATGCTCAGTCTGTTTCTTATTGCATATCTAGTTGGGTTTCTTTGGTGTTACTACAAATCAAAGTGTTTCTCAACATTTTAGGTTATTGGTTCGATAGGTCTGTACAATTGTAAATATGTTTATGAATGGTACCAAATCCCCTCCCCTCCCAAGGGCTCCAGGGATCGAGCACTTGCTTAGCCTGGGTGATACCCGAGTTCCATCCCCATCAATTGGGAAGCCCTCCTACTGTCAATGAGTGTGACAACTCATTGCTCAAGCACAGTATGTGAGAATGATTGCTTCATACATTCTGTGTGTGTGTGTGTGTGTGTGTGTGTGAGAGAGAGAGAGAGAGAGAGAGAGAGAGGGAGAGTCAGCCGTGGAGCTTGAACTCTGGATGGACCTGGGCATTGTCCCTGCGCTCTTCAGCTCAAGGCTAATGCTATACCACTTGAGCCACAGCGCCACTTCCAGTTTTCTGAGTGGTTTATTGGAGATAAGAGTCTCACAGACATTCTTGCCCGGGCTGGCTTTGAACCATTATCCTCAGATCTCAGCTTCCTGAGCAACTAGGATTATAGGTGTGAGCCACCGGTGCCCAGCTTGCTTCTTACATTCTTGTGAGCCCTGGGTCAGTGTATTTGTTTCAAGTTAATCTGTTTTTTTTTTTCAATTTATTATGAAAAACTCAATAGTAGTGGAGAGAATCATACAAAGTAATTTGTCAGTTGACCTAGTGGGCTTCTTGAGTGTGAGGTGTGGTAGAAGATAGAAAATTCTGTGACAAGACAGTTCGAAAACACAACCATGATTACTCTCTGCTTTGGATTGTGTCACTGTAGCAGAGTCTCCAAATTCCACTTTCTACCAATATGGGGGCTTGAACTCAGGGCCTTGTGCTTCCGCTTGAGTCCTTTTCTTAAGGCTGACACTCTGCCACCTGACCCACACATCCACATCCAACTTTTTTGCTGGCTATTTGCAGATAAGAGTAGCTAGGTTTTGTCTCTCTGAGCTGGTTCTAAATCACAACTTTCTATTCTTACTCTCCAGAATAGCTGGGATTATAGGCATGAGCCATCAGTACCCAGTAGATACTTATGTATGTGTGTACATATACATGAATATATGTGTATATGTATGTCTGTGCATGCATGTATATGCTCATGCATGTGTGAGAGAACACAAGCTATTTAAAAGTAAGTAGCAGGCATCATTAACTTTGTAACTATTGAAGATTAACAATATTTTTGTAAATAGCCACAAAAACTTATTATTACAACTAAGTAAATCATTTCCTGCAGTTATCTAATACTGAGGGAAAGAACTAATATCTAACTGGTGAGTGGGAAGTTAATTGTGAAGCTCCACCTCAGAGGAATTTGGTTCAGTAGGAAACAGGCTAATGCTTGAGCATTGGATTTCCTGATAACTTCCCAGGTGGTGCTTATGCAGGCCTGTATTACTGCTATAAATCATGGATGAGATAGAGTAGTTATGTGAGTAGTTTCCAAACTCCATGTGTTTTTAACAGCACAAACCTTTCTATTAAAGAAAATACGTTACAACTCTCCTTTTCAGGTACTATGCTGAAGCATGCAAAGGTTAGGAGAAGTGCTGCAGAGAGAGAGACAGGCATCTCTGGCCCACATACTGGAAGCCACCAGTGCTAATCTGTTTGAGAAAGGTCCGGGAGATGAACCAACAGATGCAGGTGGACCCTGGCTGGCAGATTATTTCTTGTCAGCATCATGCTCCCTGAGTCTCATTTTTCTCATCTGAAAATGGAGATCAGAAATCTCCTCCCTATGCGTGTGCACACATGTACACACATGCACATGAATGCATTTGGAAAATCCATCCAGCACAGTGCAGGTCTCACTGATGGTCCTGGTGGCCTTATTCTAGTCCTGGTTCTGTGACTTCATTGGGCCTTTCCTGCATTTGTTTGGAATGGGAAGGATAGAGAGGCTTCCATGTGTAAAGGGATGTTGTGTTGTGCTGTGAGTTATATGAGAACGAACCTCAGACTCTTTCATGTGATGGCTTGTACTCCTGTGCTCTAAGTAACCCAGGAGAGATGATGAGCTGTACCATGCCAGAAAGTTACTCACCTGAGGTTAGACTTCTCCTCTGGTTTCCTGTTGTCATGTTTCTTTTTGATTATTGGGATAAGTGAGGGCATCCACCCTTCTGTGGAGGCAGGAGGTTTGTGGTTTATTGTGTGGCAAGATATTGGGACTGGGTGCGGCTTAATGTAGCGAAGTGGGTGTGAAGAGTGTAAATATTTACTAGTCATCACTCCCTGTGGTGATGCAGGTTGTTAGTTGTTGAAAGTCAGCCATGACATCTGATCATCCATGTCTTGTATATTTATTGAGCAAACAACAATAATAGATATTTATTACTTAACAGTGTCACTGCAAGAAAACTGAAAATGGGCTGGAGGCAAACTTATAGTCTGTATTGGGGTGTCCTGGTCAGGAGAGCTCTTAGAGAAGACGATGCTCAAGAAAGCTTAAAGGCTTGGCAGAAGTAGCCTGGATGATGAGCATGGACTCTGGTTTGGGGTGCTGGCACTTTGTAGGGGCTTTGTGACTTCTGATGCAGGTTGTGAAAGAGTGCTCAGGAAAAGATTGGACTACAGTAAATTCTGAAAGATGTAGGCATGAGGCTGAGAAACTCTTTAGGTGAGGATTTATTTAGAAGAGATGACTGCTGTACACACCCTGCAGGTAACAATCTCATATGGAAAGAGAAGAGTTTTAGGAAATTTAAAGAAAAGTTTTCATAAGCCATGCTTTGGCGGTCAGCCTGCTTATATACAGAAGTGTTTTAGAAATAGAGGTTGCTACTTAGGTTGATTAATTTACCCTGAAGCTTGCTTGGTGACGATATTGTACCTTAGCACCTTTACTAGGTGGCCTGAAAACGATAGCTAAGGGACACCTTTTCCTTGTGTGCCTTAGGACACTACTTAGTTCCAGTTTCATTTGGACAGTTGATTCTTTGGTAGGAAGACTGGAAACTAGGAGTATGATTTGCATTGGGACTTTGTTCTTTGGCAGCTGAATGAATTTAGAAATGACAAATTGTGAAGTACTGAGCATAGTGGCATAGGTGAGTCTCTTAGAAGACTCCCTGAGTAACATCAAAATCAGGAGTTGGTGTGCAGTCAGATAAGCCCCATATATGGAGAGAGGGGAGGGAGGGAGGGAGGGAGGGAGGGGGGGACATTCTTGGTGTTCTGGATGAATGACTCCCTTCATAGAAGTTTAGTAAGGGATAGTGAAGATAACCTTCAGTTTATCTACTTTTTATGGTAATGTAATGTTTAATAACTTTGTTAAAAAACTTGTTCTGTTGGTTAAAAAGTGACAAGAAATGGTAATTCTGCATTTTTAAACATAACAAGTGTTCTACTTTAGTGATTTGCTGGTATCCTTTGTTAGAGATTGGCTAGGAGTTTCTGGCAATACCCTGGTAGATCTCAGTTTGCAGATCTGGGAGTAATCTGAATGTTAACTCAGATATCTTGAATGTTCTTTCTACTTTTTCTTTAAGACAAAACTATGCTAAACACACCTTGTTAGATTGGAAGACATTAGAGTTAAAGGAACTTTTTGATATCTATTCTGTGTTGCAAAGAAAGCAGTATCTTAAGGCAAGACACAAAATTGACCATATTTCCCTTTGTGTATATGAACAAGAATAATTCTGAAAGTTCAAAGACAACCATATTCCATTTTCAATTAATTTGAGCAAATAATTTTATGGTTTTTATATACAACTCAGAAGTACATAAAATTTGAAATGATGTCCTTTTTCTCCTGTCTCCCAGTCCTATTTCTTAGCAATAATCACTGCTCATACTGTGTGTGGTTTCAAGATATTTTAATATGTACATGTACCTGCATATATAATGCTGTCTTTATAAAAATGGACTCAACTTGCACATGTATTTGTGAACCTGTTCTGTTCACTGATGATCTGGTCAGCAGCCTCTGTTTGACAAAATCCTTTTCTTTGTAAAGGAACACTGAGAGCCACCAGGCTGTGCAACCTCTTTTTTTCACATTAGCAGGTAGATGAGCTTTCAGATGTATAACATGTGTTAATTCTTATTGAGAAACATTTAAATAATTCATGTATTAGACAATGAGAAGCCTAATTCTAGAGAAATCACTATTTTGTGCAATGACTTTTTCTGATTTTTTTTTTTTTTTTTGCAAATTCTATCATAGCATCCTCGCTAAGGGAAAAAGTATGTATTGAATAACTGTTAGCATTTAAAAAATGGAAAAGTGACATAACAGTTAAGTTTGGAGCTCCTGAAATGTTAATCAGTTGCAGTATTGATATACTTGATGACCTTTCTTGGACAGGAACTTACCATAGTTCAAATGGTCACAGTCTCTTTTGGTGATGCTACCTTGTTATATTCATTACTTCTCTTCTTCTGTCCAGGATCCAAACTACTGGATACAGGTTCATCGCCTGGAGCATGGAGATGGAGGAATACTAGACCTGGATGATGTCCTCTGTGACGTAGCTGACGACAAAGACAGAGTGAGTTCAAATCACAGCTCAGTGCAGTTTGAGGACTGGGAAGGGTACTTTCCTTCTTGTTTTAGCACATAGTTTAAAGACCATTGGTGCCACCAACTTTATTCTATTTTATAATAAATACAAAAAAATTTCTTCTCTGTTGTTGGTATAATGATTCCTAACTTTTGGAGTTTTTGAAGTGCAATTATTTTGGGGTGTGTGTGTGTTGGTCATGGAGCTTGAACTCAGGGCCTGGGTGCTGTCCAGCTCTTTTGCTCAAGGCTAGTGCTCTACACTTGAAGCCACAGTGCCACTCCCCTCCCTCCCACCCTCCCTCCCTCCCTCCCTTCTTCCTCCCTCCCTCCCTCCCTCCTCTCTCTCTCCTTTCTTTCTCTCTCTTTCTTTCTTTCTTTCTTTCTTTCTTTCTTTCTTTCTTTCTTTCTTTCTTTCTTTCTTTCTTTCTTTCTTTCTTTCTCTCCTCTTTCTTTCTTTCTCTCTCTCTTTCTCTTTCTCTCTCTCTTTCTTTCTCTCTCTCTCTTTCTTCCTCTCTCTTTCTCTCTTTCTTTCATTGTGTGGCTTGAACTCTGAGCCTGGGCGCTGTACCTTAGCTCTTCATTTCAAGGTTAGTGCTCAACCACTTGAGTTACAGCACCACTTCTGGTTTTCTGGTGGTTTATTGGCGATAAAAGTCTTACGGTTTCCCCTGCCTGGGCTGGCTTTGAACTGGGATCCTCAGCCTTCTGAGTAGCTAGGATTACAGACATGAGCCACCAGCACCCAGCTTACAGTGTAGTTTTAAAAACTGAAGTATTGCAATAAGGTTTTCGTGTCATTTTCTCCCTCTTACTTTAATCAAACATGACAAACTTCCTTAACACAGCAATTTGAACTCTGAGCCTTGTGATCTCTCCTGGTTGGCACTCTACACTTGAGCCATGCTTCTACTTACTGCTTTCTGCTGCCTAATTAGAGATAAGAGTCTCTTGGGTTTGTCTTCCCAGTCTGGCTTCAAACCATAATTCTTAGATCTTAGCCTCCTGAGTACCCAGCATGTAGTATCATTTTGATGGCCATGTTTCATTACAGGATATAGGATATATGTATTCTGGTTCCAGTGCTTGCCCAGAGATGTTTCTGACAGCTGGCCTTTGTGAGGTGCTGTCCTGCTACAAAATAAGTGAATGTGTTTCAGGTGTCCTTCCTTGTGGTGTGCTTAGCTCTTAGAAAGCTGTCTTTTCTGCTGTCATTGTTTGGGGTCTTCCTTCACATTGAATACTGCCTTCAGTGTAGTGTATACGTATGATACCATGACTACTCCTGCAAATTCAGCATTACCTTGCATGCTCCTCCCTATTGGCTTTACTTTTATAGTCTTGGAAGGAACAGAAAAAGGGAAGGGTAAAGAGGAGGTAGGAAGCAGAAGGGTTGCCAGTGCCATCCAGCAGATGAAGAAATGTCCATGCAGTGTCATTTCATAATCTTTTAATAACACAATGGGGATGAGGAATGAATTTAACTGATAAGGTTAAACTGAAGATGTCTCCCCCACTTCTGTCTTCATAGGGCCAGTTTGTCCCAGATCTAGCAGTGTAAGGGGACATATCAAAGAGGTATATTCTAAGTGGTACATATTAGGATGTCAGAGAGCAGTAAGATAAATCATTTCGTAACAGATCCAAGTAAGAAAAGTTCCTTCAGACACTCATCTCTGTCTTTTGACAGTATTGCTGCAGATGGTCAGCCTAAGCAATCATATAACCAGGGTTTCCCATTGATTCTTTATGCATTCACATTTCCTGCACCAGTCAAAGGGCTAGGAATTTGTGGCAGGATTTTTGGTTCTGCCTATGGAAGCCAGCAAATTCTTTATTGTATGAGATGATGAAACTTGGGGTGGTTTAATGGACACTTTGGCCGTATATACTTATGTATTTGATGTGAGCTGAAATTGCTGAAGGACTCACCATGACCACATATGCCGTTGTGTCATCATGGCTGTGTTAACTGTGTGATATACACTGCCTTGCAAAACTTTACTGTAATAGCACAGGTATTAAACAAGGGAAGCAGAAGGTCAGAAGATGGTAAGATCATTGGGGTACTCACTCTGCTTCCTCTGGGCATCCATTCATTACTGACCCTTTGCCTCATCTACCATTCCTTCATTTGTTGGGCTATGGGCTGTGGGCATAGCTATTAGTGGGCACAGCTATTTGGTCTTGTTATATTTCATTTTGACATCATCAGGCCCGCTCCAGGTTATCACATGTTTTCTTGAAATGTTAAGGAAAACAGCAAAAAACATTTTAGATACTAATATTGTGTAAACTCAGGGCATTTGATTCATCGGCATTTACTACAGTGGAGTTTACCCCCATGTCGCTAATGTGAGCCAGGAACACATTGTGTCAAAAAATGTAGAACTTTTCTGCCCCCTTACGGTATTTGATGATATTTTTCTTGGTGCCAGTTCTCTTTTGGGGCTTTTCAGTTACCAGGGTAATTCTCAGATGCAAGCCACAGAAAGAGTACCATCTAGAAACATAAACCATAGTTTGGTGTGTGACTCTAAAGTTTAGAGTGATTACAGAGATTTATGCAGAATTTATATAGGTGCCTAGTCTCAGTGATAATAGTAGAGAAGACCTAAGGTTGTGTTAGTCTTTTAATATTCTCTTCTCCCTTGGCCATCTTTATTTTCGTTCCCTCTTCTCCCATGGTAGAATATCTGCTTAACATGGGTGAGTTTCTGGATTTCATCTGCAGCAAAACACACACACAGGCACGTGCGCACACACACACACACACATTCAGGCTGAACACACACACACACACACACACACCCTTATGAGAGAAAATTTGAAAGTATATACACATTCAGGCTGAACACACACACACACACACACACACACACACACAC